TGGCACGCCATGCACCAAAAGGTTTTATTGGTGCACCAGTGGCACGCCATTAGATTATAACTGCACCAGCAACCCTAGTTGTAGATCTATCAAAAAAGCTACCGTAGATCTATCAAAATCGATACTTTTGCGTCTGTAGACTTTCCGTTTATAAGTAAATCACTGTGGCACGTGATTTTGTGCCAATCAAAATTTCTCAAGATTAGTATAATATTATACAATCAGAAAATTCAAAAAAACAAATCGCACATTTCTTGAAAATGTGAATAAGAAATCGCCTTTTGTGCCTCAACAAAAAATTTTCCTCGAGCAATTTTACTATACATCTACCTAAAGTAATAAACTTTAAAAATTTTATTGTTATTTTGTGTATGTACTAGAGGGTAATCAGCTATGACCTGAGACCACAAAGAAATTGAAATCCCGCTGTACTATAACAGATAAAACTAATAGTACTATAATGCATAATGTCCCCAAGGCACTTTTGGCTAGAAATGTGCACATAATAGAGTTGCTGGTGAAACTGGTGACTATCTAAAATCTGCCAATCAGATTTTAAATAGTCACCAATTTCACTATCAACTCTAGTAAATAGTAAATACCCTAGCCATGGCAAAAAAGAAGAGTCAGATCATGTAACTTCCGGTACTCTGAATTAATCTCTACCAATCAAAATCCGGGATCTGGGTGTAATGTAAAATTTTACAAAAAACACAACAAATATATAAAATTAAACAATTAATAAATAAATTCTCCAAATGCATAAAACTTCCTCATTAAAAATAATAAAATCGTGGACTTTTATTGAGTTTTACACGTTGCATAATTAATATAAAAATCGCTGATTATATCATATATTAATTAATAACATGAATAAATATTTCATACGTATTGAAATCGATTACCTAAAGACTATCGCTATTATTTAGCATAATTGTTAAGATGAATTATGTATTAAATTATTGAGATTTGCAAAATTCTGGATCCCATTGATTGTTTGAGCATCTAACAATCACAATTGTTAATAACAATTATATTTTATTAATAAAATATAATTGTTAGATGATTATTGCTCAAACAATCAATGGGATCCAGAATTTTGCAAATCGCAATAATTGCTTAAATATATTTAATTATTGAATATATCATTCTATCGATGTTTCGATATCTTCTATGCATTTGGATAATTCAATTATTAATTAATGGAAATAAATTTTAACAATTTGCTTTTAATAATTAATAATTAGAAAGTCCTATCATTACATATATCAAAAATGTAACAATACCTCAATTAACATGCGATGTTCTTCTACAAGTACATCTTGAAGATGATTTAGATCACTTTGAGTCAACTTCATTTTAAAACAATATACCACAGCATCTGCTACAGTTACCCAGCATAAGATAATATTCTTTATAACTTGTTTAGCAGTTCCTCTTCAATTATT